GTGTGTGTGTGTGTGTGTGTGTGTGTGTGTGTGTGTATATATATATATAGCATAAAATTCAGTGATATTAATTACATTTACACTGTTGTACACCATTACAATTATCTTTTTCTAAATTGAGATATAATTGACATATAACATTGTGTAAGTTTAAGGAGTACAACATGTTGGTTTGATACATTTATATATTGAAATATGATTACTGCAGTAGCATGAGCTAACATGTCACATATTTATCATTTCTTTTTTGTCTTGAGAATACCATTACCTATTTCTAAAACTTTTCCATCACCCCAAACTGTTTCCTCTCTCATTTTTTTTTCTCTTTTTTTTTTTTAAGGTGAGGAAAATAACAGTCATGTTTATATACTGATGGAAATGATCTCTTATAGAGCTGAAAACTGATCATGTAGGAGAAAGGAAAGAATTGCTGGGGCAATGCCCTTGAGTTAGGTGAGAGGAGATGCACAAGTAGGTAAAGGGTACGTTTTAGACATAGATCATCTCTGAACAGCGCTGTCCAATAGAGCTTCCTGCAGTGGTGGAGATATTCTATATCTACACTGTTCAATATAGGTGCCGTAAGCCACTTGTAGCTATTAAGCATTTGAAATGAGACTAGTAAGACTGAGAAACTGAACTTTTAATTTTATTTAATCTCAATTTAAATAGCCACACATAGCTACTAGACAGAGCATTAATGTAACAGGCAGCAGATAGATATAGCGATAAGAATCTGGAAGTTCTCTTCTGATGGCCTCAGTTTTCTCAGTGAAGTAGGAAGTCGGATTATCAGACAAGGGAGAATAGGGGATAAGGTGTTAGAGATTTGAGGAGAGAGAAAGTGTGAAATAATTGAGGAGAGTAGGAGACAAAAGAAGATTGAGAAATATAGTATGATTGGAGGACAGGATCAAGAACTCACTTGAGTATTAAGTGGGGCCAGTGTGGTTGCTTTTTCTTTCTTCAGCTATTTATAGCTGCACTAGTGAATAACAGGTGAATTAAAAAAAAACTTCATTGAAGTATAATTTATATAGCATAAAATTTACCCATTTTAGGTATACAATCCAGTAATTATTAGTAAATTTACCAAGTTGTGCAGCCATCACCACAATTCAATTTTAGAACATTTCCACCACCCTGGTAAGATCCCTAATTCCCATCCCCAGGGAACCACTCATTTACTTTCTCTTTCTACAGATTTGCCTTCTTTGAACCTTTCATATAAATGGAATCATATAATATGTGGGGTTCTGTGTCTGGCTTTTTTCACTTAGCATGGTATTGAGGTTCATTCATATTATAGCATATCAGTGGTTGTCCATTTTTATTGCTGAATACCATTCCATTGTATGCATATACCCATTTTGTTTATCCCTTCACCAGTTAGTAGATGTTTTTGGTTATTCTGAATAATGCTGCTTTGAATATTCATGTGCCTGATTTGTGTTTTAGGGTTGGATTTTAGCTAGAAAAGTTCAAGAAAGCATGAAAAGGCAAGGACATTTAGGGTTTATGCAGGAAAGTGGTATAATGATTGATGGCCTTGAGTAAGGAAGGAGGAGGAGTTCTTGAAAGGTGGTGGAGTCATGGATGGATTGATATTCAGAACATTGTCAGAACTGAAGTAGTAAGAGGAAAGAGCTGGAAAGAGAAGCAGCAGTGAGGGTGTGAAGTTCTCTGCATCACACATGTTCTTTGGTGTCTGGCTTGTTATTTGATGTAGTACTTGGGGTAGGTCTCTTTTGTGCCTTCTTTTTTGAGTTGAGAAAACTACGACAGCATGAGATTTGGGCCTGAAAAGATGTCCAGCTCTGAGGAGATAGCAGATCCCAAACAACCTTCCTGTAAACAAAGGGAAACTTAGTGGTTCATAAATACTGACTAGTATTTATGGTCTAGTACATTGGTCACAGGATAAATTCTGTTTATAGCAAACAGGGCAAGAGAGTAATTTTTTTTTTTCTTAATGGTGACATTGGTATAAGGGAGTATTTTTGAGGTGACTGTTTTTTTCTTTTGGTTTTGAAGGGTTGAAATGAGAAAGGTTCCTCATCTTCCCATTTTCCTTTTAGTAGCACACTAGCACGACAGCTGGTACACATAAACTGAGAGCCCTTGGGACAAGGAGAAGAAACTTGACGCTTGTGTACTTCTCACTGGAATATTCAAAATCTTTTGAGGGAAGAGCAGAAGGTGTTGGTCACCTTCTCACCTGCCTTATGGTGAGCAGAGTGACTGGAGGTGCACATACAGTCACACAAGTAATGTGGTTGAGTATTGCTCCTGCAGGCCCCTCTGTGTTCAATGTTCTCTTCAGCAAGTGGGAGCAGGTGACACATTGGGAGACCATGAAATATGAGTGCCTTTGCCCAGAGAACATTATCCACTGAACATCCTGCTTCCTTAGATTTTAAGGGCAGAAATAAAGCATAACTAGATCAATTCGATAAACATTTATTGAACATCTTCTACATCTAAGACTTTAGGCTGTGCGCAGACCAGACCGCTGCCTTGAGGAGTTTACAGTATATGTGGGGACATGTACCATAGTTCAGAGAAATGCTGTTAGAGCATAGGAGGGAGGGGTTAATTCCAAAAAGGCTCGAGTGAGAGGAACCAAGGAAGATTTCAAGAGGAAATGCCATCTGAAGACTGCATTGGTGATAGTGTGGGAGGTGGACTGGAAGGAGGGAAAGTTGGAGGCGTAGAAATAAGTTAGGAGGCTATTCTGGTTGACTAGATGAAGGGTAATGAAGGAGTGACCACAACTGAAAGAAGAGGGATAGACTCAGGAGTCATTGTTTCAGAGAAAGATCAGGCCAAATTTTAGATTCTAGAAGCCTACGACTTTCCCCAGTGGCTTGTGTCAAGCTTTCAAGATTTTCCTTTGTGTTAGAAGTACAGCGCTTGTCACTATTATGAATTGCTTTCTCCAGCTGGGCTGGTCCCTGACTAGAAACCTTTTTGCAAATTGAGCAGAACTTCCTAGAGACCAGACTCTAAGTTTACTTCATTGTATGTCCTGTCTCTCCTGTTGGTCCCTCTGCTGCTCCATTTCCCATTAGCCCACCAAGCACACCTCCAGTGTAGGCAGAGGGAAAGA